GGACCCTCAGAATACAATGGGGAATCAGGGGAAATCCTCTATTTTCTCCAGGGGTAGAAGTTATTTACTTATTTATGCCACCACTCCAAAGACCAGCTCAATACAAACAGAAAACATGGTTAGGATCCAACGCAATCTGCTGTGTTCACTTTACGATCACACAGAAGATAAAAATGTAACCACCAGAGCAGGGCCTGACATAGAATGGCCCCAATGCATACAGCATGTACATGACTCTCCTTTAAGCTTCACTGCACTTACTCAGATCTTTTTTTAATTGAATTCAAAATTTTAAAGAACACTATGAGAATGCATAATACAAAAATACAATATAAATGTATCTGAACTATAAAGACAATTCCATACAATTTCAATACATCTCAGAATTTCTTATCTCATGTTTTCATCTGGCTTGATTTTATTACTGTAAATAATGAATGGCTGCCAAATTTTAACACAAGAAATACAAAATACACTTACTCAAATCTTGACACTTGATTGTGTTGAAGTCAAAATTGATGCAAAGATAATCACAGGTATCTCTGAGATCAGGAATAGAAATCCCGTCAGGACAGTGAATTACTCCAGTCTTGTAATAATCCTGAAAGGACAAATATGATAAAGCAGGTCCAGGTGGATTCTAACTTAATGTATTTGGCTTGTATCTGTTCTTCCTTCCAGAAGTTCAGATGGGATACAAACAGCCTTGGAGAAGTCTGCAATCCATTCTGGGTAGCTGCTTACCTTTAACAATGTTCACTATATGCTCTCAGACCATGTATTTTATTTTAAAAGCCTGGGATTTTTTTGTTAGCTTCACATTTTACCACAGCTGGGAAAGAAAACCATTTTTAAAAAAGGAAAAGAGGAAAAACAGAGAGTGACTCACATACTGACATGTAAAAGATCTTCAAACATAATTTAGAGACAGAAAATAGGAAGGAAATAAGAAAACCCCCAAGATGTACCATCAGAGTGTAAAATACTTATTGAGAAACTGAAAGCTCTGAAGGTGAAGGCAAAAAAAATAAAAGGGACTTCAAAGAGAGGATGGACAATTCCAGCTCCTCAACTTCAGGCGTTTCCTCACCAGCACTGTCCGGAATACAGTGGAGCCGATTCCTTCTGCAATTTCATATTCACCCTTCTCATTTGGCCGAGTGAAGTTATATTCTCGTCCCGGTCCAAACATTCTGAAAGGTAGTAAGGTAGCTGTAAACTTGTTGCCATGCTAGCTCCCAAACAACAAGTGGTATTGTAAAGTAAGTAGATCATGCTAAGCTCACCAAAAGAAAGAATAATCCAAATGTGGACATTACTTGAGACTGCAAGAGTTGCAAGGTCCTGTAGATGCCATACTAGGGCAAGGACCAAGAAGGACCAAGAAGTAAAACACCATGAGTGCAATCCTGTTTCAGCAGCAAGTAGATTGGAGTATAGTTCAATCTCAACAGTTTAGCAAAATCCCACCTTGCCCTTCCTGCTGCTGCCGTACCTGATCAGCCATGTCCATGCCAGCTAGTCCATTAACACTGTGCCTGCTGAGCCATACCTCACACGCAGCCCAACACAGCCCAACTCTGCTGAACTTAGGGGCCTGAGGATGCGTGTGCTGCTGGGTCATTCAATGCAAAGGGTGAGGGAGCTAATGCTAAGGATTTGGCATGGGCAAAATGGATTGTGCAGGAGCGCGCAGCACAACCCCTCTCAAACTAGATATGATGGCAGCCAACCTGGGTGTTAGTATCAGGTTGCCACCAAATTCTTATAAAATATATTAAGGGCCAGTGGGAATTAAAAAGAAGAGCAGGTGGGAGCAGCTGAGATAGCTGAGGAGAAATGGTTAGAGGTGAAGGGGAAGCTTGGGTAGGTGGGGACTCACCAAACCCTCTTCAAATATATACACACCCACCCCACCACCACCATTATCACTTCATAGGAACTCCCACAAACTAAGTAATATTACTCTAGTGTGGAGACTGAAGACCTGAGGGACCTTCCCACACTTGGAGGTTAACACTCAGGTTGAGTCTCTCTCTTGCTGTTTATGCAGACTCTGGTTAATGCATTTATTTGGAATATGTGTATATTTGTATTTTCTATTAAAATTAAATATTAAAGGCAGCTTACAGAAAATAATTTTAATATACCACATAAAATAAATTTAAAACAAAATTAATGCAAAATGGAAAGCAAAGGTGAGATATCCAATTGAATATTCTGATCAGTATAGATTTAACAAAGAAAAAAGCCACGTAATGCGTGGATATGTCCTCAAGCTACTTTCCTTCAAAATGTTAAATTACTCTCTAAAGTGGTTTGCACTCTCAGTCTGTGAGATGTTCTCATGAAGCTAAAGAATGCCCCCTTCAAATATCTTCAACCTAAAATTCATTCTGATCCTAAACACATTTGCTTGGATGCTCTTTCAATGAGATATACTTTTATATAACACAATTAAGCACTCTGAAATTCCAATGGAATTTAGAAAAGCTGAGCTTTTGTTGAACCAAGCCCAAAGAATTTAGGATTGCAGCTCTCAATGATATATTAATATCTCACCAAATTAGAAATCTGTTCCACTCATATATATGCTCTTCAGCAATATCTAAGATCTTAGTAGCAGCTGCAATCTATTTCCCTGTGAGAAGGATTCGGTTCTGTCAGGTTTAAAAGGGAACAAAACTACTTACCTTCCCAACATAGTATCAGGATGAGCTGTGAATATCTGAGGATTTACCACAAATCTAGTGCCATCTACAACCAGAGTCACTTTCTCTTGCGCCTGGACTTGTCCACTGTTGTTCAAGCTGGTACAACTATTTCCATGCTCTTGCATGGAGTAGTAGTCTAGACTTCTTTTACCTCCTGCAGGGAAGAAAACGCTTTTGATATCTTCAAGAGCATTAGAACACTAAGGACTTTTTAGGTGAATTGCATTTCTGAACTTGGCATCTAAACACAGGAGACCAAGCAACAGTTGAGTGACTGGCATGGTTAATTAACTCTCAATTATAGGGAATGATGATGTATCTAACAGTATGAGGCAAAGATGACATACTGCTGACTTAGATTGTATGTAGTTATTATTGGTTGTGGTGATGACAATTAGTACTGTTGGTTTAAGAACATAAGAACATAAGATATGCCAATGTTGGATTAGGCCAAAGGCCCATCCAGTCCAACACTCTGTATCACACAGTGGCCAGAAATACCAGTGCCATCAGGAGGTCCACCAGTGGGGCCAGGACATTAGAAGCCCTCCCACTGTTGACCCCCCCCCCAGCACCAAGATGA